GAGCCGGAGGACAGCAGTGCAGCACTGGAGCCACGTGCCAAGCTGCGCCCGACACCCCGTGATGCAGGACGCGTCCACCCCGGCAACACGGCAGCGAGCATGGTCGACCGTAGGGGATCGACTCCCAAACGAAGGCTCGACTCCGACGGATTCTGGGCAGGAGTGTCTGGGCATTCCAGAGGTACTCTGAGCAGGCTTTTCTTGTCTTTGTGAGGAGTACAGGAATCAAGAACACCAGAAAAGCCCCATGCCGCCCAAGTGTTCCTGCCCCGGAAACCCTAAAGCCCTAAGCCTTAAAACCCTAAACCCTAAAATACAACTCACCCCCTAAACCCCGAAGCCCTAAAACCTTAAACCATAAACCTTGAAACCCCAAACCCTAAGGCCTAACCCCTAGTCCTCCTCCTCTTCTTCTCTCTGTCTCCCTGTCTCTCTGTTTGATTATGAACAGAATATGGAAAAGCAGAGGGTCCATGCAAATGGCCCGCGGGGTCGCCGCCACGCCGCGCCTCCGAGGAGAAGGAGAAAGGAGAGAAAAAAAAGAATATGAAACGAAACAATGAGAAAGCAAAATACACAAGACAGAAAGGAAAAGCAAAAGAGAGTGAGAGAGAGAGAGAGAGAGAAAACAACAACAACAACAACAACAACAACAACAACAACAACAACAACAACAACAACAACAACAACAACAACAGCAACAGCAACAGCAACAGCAACAGCAACAGCAACAGCACCAGCAGCAGCAGCAGCAGCAGCAGCAGCAGCAGCAGCCGCAGCAGCAGCCGCAGCAGCAGCAGCAGCAGCAGCAGCAGCAGCAGCAGCAGCAGCAGCAGCAGCAGCAGCAGCAGCAGCAGCAGCAGCAGCAGCAGCACCAGCAACAGCAACAGCAACAGCAACAGCAACAGCAACACCACCACCACCAACAACAACAACAACAACAACAACAAAAACAACAAACAACAAACAACAAACAACAAACAACAAACAACAAACAACAAACAACAAACAACAAACAACAAACAGCAAACAACAAACAACAAACAACAAACAACAACAACAACAACAAACAACAACAACAACAAACAACAACAACAACAAACAACAACAACAACAAACAACAACAGCAACAACAACAACAGCAACAGCAACAGCAACAGCAACAACAACAACAACAACAAACAAGTAAGAGAAAGAAGAGAGCGAGAGAGAACGAGAACACGCAGGAGAACGGGCGAGACACGAACCGAGTGAGAGTGCAAAACAGGCTTCGCTGCTCTATGACTCTCACCCCATCGTTTCAAACGATTTGCGGGGGAAAATCTGGTGCTGCAAGTGCAGCTGAGCACTGCGTCGTCTCTGAAGACTGTTGAAGGCAATTTTTAGGGCTCCGGCAAGGTCTGGAAGACACCGGTACAGAGGCCCGTGATTGCAAAGAAGAGGCCGGCCAGCAAGCCTCAGGAGAAGAGGCGCCACATGGCGCCACGCCGCGCCCATCGCGCCCTTTCCTGTCCCCCGCCTGTGAGTGAAAAAAACACATGAAAACGTCAAGAGAAGGGTGCTCCTCGAAGACTTATGTTTGTCAGCAATTTAGAGCAATTCGCACCTTCACTCCACTTCTCTCCACTCCTTCGACGGGACAAAAATTTCCCGGCCGGAGACTATCGCGAGAGCTTCTTCTGGGCCCCCGGGCCCACGCCCACGCCACGGAAGCAGCCGAGCACACCATCCTCCCGGGCCCCCTGCACAGAGGGCTCCAACTGTGTCCAACATCTCTCGGAGATGTCTCTCTCGCCCTCCGTTTTTCTGCGCACCCCCTCGCCATTGGGAGAGGCCGGCCAAAGGCGTGCGCTACAAATCCTGTGGAGTTCTCCCGCGCTCTCTCTCTCCCTCTCTCCTTCTCTCCCTCTCTCTGTGATTTGTGTATGTTGCTGAATTTGCTGGGCATACTGGCACCTCGATGGGTTGGGCGATGAGGCCGGCGAGGCCCACCAGGAGGCCGCCCAAAGCGCACTTCGCGCCGCTCCAGAGCCCGCCCTAACAGAACGCTTTCCCCCCGTGCCGGCCCGTGACGACGGCCCGTGACTGCTTCTCTCTCTCTCTCTCTCTCTCTCTCTCTCTGTTTCAGGGAGATATGAAAATGCTTGCCTACAAGTTCTCCACTCTTCTCAATTCTGACTCATTCTCCTCACTGGGCGCCGCGGCCAAGACATCGCGTGGCGCGTGGACTGGGAACAGGACAGGCAAGGCTTCTTCTGCCTCGGGGTCAATTCAACAAAAAGACAGCAAGAGAAAAAGGGAAACTCTTCCCCAGTCTTCACGCTGCCCTTCCGGGGCGCTGCCCGCTTCCGCCTCTCTCTGATTCGCATTCTTTGTAAGTCTCTTCTGAATGCTCAACTTGTCTACAACATGTATAACTTAGTCTATAAATCGCTTTAAATTCATTCACTTTTGCTCTCTCTTTCCGTCTCTCCCTTTCCGAGGAACATTTGCAACAAAGCTGGGCTCGCGGCATCACGGAGGATCTCCTCGGCACGTGCCTCCCCCCCCAAGCTAAGATGTGAGCGGCAGGACTGCGCTGAAAACGAGAGATGTGTCTTTGTGTATAGGGACTGCGAAGAAATAGAGCGGGAGAGAGAGAGAGAGGGAAAGCAACAAATTCTTTTGCTTCGAACATCCCCGCACCCTCTCTGGGTAGATGTACTCTGGGGTTGGGCACTCCAGGGAGCGAGGAGTAGAGTTCCGGGCGAGGAGAAGAGTCTTGAGTTTATAATCTGACAATCCCACACCGAGGGGGAAAAACAAGATTCAGAGCGAGCAATGTTTCCACACTTCCGGCTCAGAGTTTTCTCGGGCCTGGCCGGAACTCACATTGTGGATCGGCAGCGCCGCAGCCATCAGCACCGGCGCGAGAGAGCGCTAAAGCCGCTGAAGGGCAAGCCGGCAACCCGAATCCCATGTTGAAATGAGTCCCGTGACTGCCGTGACTGCTCTCTGCCGAGTGCTATCTTGCTACATCATGGCCCAGCATGGCACCTGCAAACTCTCGACACGCTACCCTGCTCAGGCCCTGCTTTGTCTGCAGTTGCTAGCGGTGTGTGCGCACAAGGCGGCGCAAGGAGAGGATATTTCCGCGAACATCCAGAAGAATGATAAATTTGCAAACAGCAATTGCGGACCGCTGCTTTTCATCCGGCATGCGAAAACAGCATCAGACACAAACACGTGTCACGGCATTCGGGGTTGCTCAATGTCACTCAATGTTGCTCACTTTTCAAAGGGAAATGATTGCGAGACAGACAACAGTCCCAGAAAGGCCTCGCAGCACCCAGGCTCTGCTCACTTAATTGAAAGTTGCACTTCAGCCGCGCAACGAGGAACCGCTTGTTGACAGCAAGTAAGCAAATGCAACGAAAATGAGACAAACAGAGCTCAAGCCAAAGAAGCTGCATCACAATCCAAGCATAATAACGAGTGAACTCCCCACTCTGCAAACACAAGAACAGCCTCAGCAACGCTTCCGATTCTTCCCCTAGCACCGTTCAACCGCGAGCCGAACACAAAAAGCCACCAAATGCTCATGTGCTGCAACATTGTTTTAGGCCTTGCAATCGGCCTACTTGCGACATGGCCTCGACTGTCCTCAGCGCGGCAGCTGGAGTTGCCCCCTCCGAAGCTCTTCATTGCACTCTGCTGCTGCGAATCCCAAGAGCCGACGCTTGAGAAGCACGCAGCCGGCTCCTTCTCAAAAACCACTCACAAATTGATAAGGACCGGCACCATTTTGGGGCTTTTGGAGGTTAGTCACGGTTAGTCACTTGCACTTTGGGGACAACATCAAACCATCAAGCCGTTCCCTCAGGCCGAGGCAACATGGGGACCATCCACGGAGCTCAACCTGAGATGCTGCGCCTCTTGCAAGGAATACATTGAATAAGAGACCTTGGAGGGACCTTCTAGCCTTGGCTATTGTGATTTTCGTCTGCCTTTGCAGCTTTCAGTCCGATCTCAGCAGCGCAGCTTGATCGTGTGTCGTCGTATTGCGTGCAGGTGCGTTTTTGTGACGCACCCTCCTGTGATCTCCTGTGCCACGCCAAAAGCTACGATATGCTACGGGGAAATATTCTCTAGGCCATTTCAGCCGCAGTCCGTTTCGGCATGATCAGGGAGATCAGGACTTTCTGAAGCAGCGTGGCTCAAGCCATCGCAGAGCATTTCAGATTTCTGAGGGCCCATTCACCCACGAAGTAAAGGTTGGAGGAAAGGTACTGAACAACTATGGATACAGCGGCTTCTCCTCCTCACTCTCCCCCTATCTCTCGCTCTCTTTTCTTTCTTTCTTTGGGGCATGAGGGCAAGCCCCCGCGCTGTTCTCGCGCCCCCACTTTGGGGGTAGTCAGTGGAACGATGGAACTCGGAGGGTTGACATCGGTACTCACCCCCTCCCCCCATCCCCCTCTCTCTCTCTCTCCCTCTCTCTCTCTCTCTCTCTCTCTCTCTCCCTCTCTCTCTCGCATCTGAAGTATCTCATGCCAAAAGCAGCGCGGCAAGTCCGAGCACTGCCGCGGAGGCGGAGCCGGCGATTGCAGAGCTGGGCGGCTCACCGCCGTCGCCATCGTCACCATCGTAGCCATCGTCACCGTCGTCGCCATCGTCACCGGTCGAGTTGTCTGCAGTCGTCGTCGTGGTCGTGGTCGTGGTCGTGGTCGTGGTTGTCGGGGCAGCGACGCGAACGGTCGACTTGCCGGTGACCTCCACGGTGCCCGTGAAGCCCGTGCTGGCGACAGCGGTGCTGATGGCTTCGGTCGTTTTCGCCAGAGACACCGTCTCAATTGCCACTTGCTTTTCGATGGCTGCTTCCAGGCTGGGCATAGTCACAGTGAAAATGGCCGTCAGCGTGACCTGAAGCTTCCTGGAGTGGGAGCTGAGGCGTCGATTCGTCTGGAACTCCAGCGTCACATCCTCTTCGTTCACCTCCATAACCTCTGCGAACCCTGCAATCAATCCTCGACCGTCATGTCCATGGAAACTTCAATGCTGCTGTAAACACTTCCAGCCAGCGTCGTTGAGGTGGTAACACTCCTCGGGTCCTGAATACAAACGCCCGACTCGAACATGGGCTTCCACATGCACGAGGCGTCACCAGCACAGCCCGATTCATCTTCCACATAGGAAACTGCGCACTTGGAGATGTTGCCGAGGGTCTCCAAGTACTCCTTGGGGCTGTAGAGAGTTGTGCTACAATCGCGGGAGTCGACCGGGGCCGGGTTCCACAGGCTGGTCCACGCTCGCCAGCCGTAGCGCGTCTTGTCTTTCGGAGTGAACTCGTTGGTGATGTTGTAGTTTGGGTCGCTGATCTTCCAGGCGATGTAGTCGTCACCGGTAGGGCCAAAGGCCAGGCTGCAATCGCTCCACGATTGAGATGTTGTTGCGAGATCCCAGGCCTCACAGAACTTCTTGGCATCCTCGGTCTTGTACAGCACCTCGTACTTGTCGTGGTGGTAGTTCAGCGTGATGCTGAACAGCGTCTCTGCCTGCTCCATGGAAGCCTCGCAGTTGGGACGCTCACCACAGTACTTGGAGTTCCTTAGGACGTAGGGCAGCACGGGCTTGTCCTCCGTTTCCATGAGAACGCTCACAGGTGCCTTGATGATGTGGTAGTTGTCCGTGAGGGCGAACCACTTCGTTTTCACAAGAGAGGCAGTCTCGCACAGGTGGTAGTAGGCATTACGCGTGGCCGTCGCCGTCTCCATGGTCACGTTGCCGTTCGACCCCTCGATCGTCTCGGTCATATCCGGCTGCGGGTAATAGGTCAGGGCCAGGATCTTCTTGAAGGGGTGGTGCGTGGGCACGGTCGCCTTCAAGATTCCCTGGTAATCGAACATCGCCACTCCCAGGGTCACTTCGTCATCCTCAACAGTTTCGAAGAGGTTTTTGCTGGAACCGTGGCGGATGTAGGTTGGGAACTCGAAGCTGGTGTTCAGAAGTGTGTTGGCGTAGTTGCCCACCAGCATGGAATCCCAGTTGTAGGTCTGGCTGTCGCCATTCGCAGCCGTCCAGGCAGCCGCAAACTGGCTGCTGCTTCCGGACATGGCATCCATGGTGATCATGGCAAACGCCACATCGAAGGCCATCTCTTCCATCATGGTGCCACCGCCCATGCTGTGGAAAGCGTCGTACACAGCCTTGGTCCACGGGTGCTTCAGATTGTACATGGCATTGCCGTTGATGTGATCCACCAAGTAGGTCGGCATCATCGACTTGAACAGGTCCCACTTGTCGCCAAGGTACTGGCTCCCGCGGACGGCCATGTTCCCGCCCGGCATCTCGAGAGCCTCCGTCTCGAACTGGTCGAGCCAGCCGCTCTTGATGGGAACCGCGTCCATCTCCATGAGGAAGAAGGTGTCGTACATGTCCATGAACTCACCCTCAAGCATGGCCGTCATGATCTTCGAGAAGACCGCATTGGGACCAGAGACCCAGTGCTTGTTCGTGGTGTAGCCACGGTTGTCGTACACGTCTTGCTCTGGGTTCAGCATGGCCGACATGTTCTTGATGCCGGAGAAGCAATTTGTCCAGCCTTGTTTCGAGCGAATGCCGCACCATAAGCATCCACCGCTTTCTTGGCTTCGGGTCGGCCGCCAGATCCTTGCTGTAGACCAGGATGAGATCGATCGTGCTCGTGTTGGACTTGCTAGCGCAGGGCATCGTGGTGTCCCACATGCTACCACTGTCCATTAGCAGCTGCACCTCCTCCTCCGTCGAGAACACGCGGACCACTGCGAGGCTGCATCCTGCAAACAGTTCTAAGGTTTGTGCTCGAGTCGAGGCGGGAAGACGAACGCTTCCCTCTGTGTTTTTGCTAAGTTGGGCTTGGGAATGCTCTCCTGCAGCCACGGCTGCTAATGCTGAGAGTGCCACGGTCAGCAGCTTCATGGCTACCGGGCGCAAGCTGCTGCTGCGAATCCCAAGAGCCGACGCTTGAGAAGCACGCAGCCGGCTCCTTCTCAAAAACCACTCACAAATTGACAAGGACCGGCACCATTTTGGGGCTTTTGGAGGTTAGTCACGGTTAGTCACTTGCACTTTGGGGACAACATCAAACCATCAAGCCGTTCCCTCAGGCCGAGGCAACATGGGGACCATCCACGGAGCTCAACCTGAGATGCTGCGCCTCTTGCAAGGAATACATTGAATAAGAGACCTTGGAGGGACCTTCTAGCCTTGGCTATTGTGATTTTCGTCTGCCTTTGCAGCTTTCAGTCCGATCTCAGCAGCGCAGCTTGATCGTGTGTCGTCGTATTGCGTGCAGGTGCGTTTTTGTGACGCACCCTCCTGTGATCTCCTGTGCCACGCCAAAAGCTACGATATGCTACGGGGAAATATTCTCTAGGCCATTTCAGCCGCAGTCCGTTTCGGCGTGATCAGGGAGATCAGGACTTTCTGAAGCAGCGTGGCTCAAGCCATCGCAGAGCATTTCAGAATTCTGAGGGCCCATTCACCCACGAAGTAAAGGTTGGAGGAAAGGTACTGAACAACTATGGATACAGCGGCTTCTCCTCCTCACTCTCCCCCTATCTCTCGCTCTCTCTCTCTCTCTCTCTCTCTCTCTCCCTCTCTCTCGCATCTGAAGTATCTCATGCCAAAAGCAGCACGGCAAGTCCGAGCACTGCCGCGGAGGCGGAGCCGGCGATTGCAGAGCTCGGCGGCTCACCGCCGTCGCCATCGTCACCATCGTCGCCATCGTCCCCGTCGTCGCCATCGTCACCGGTCGAGTTGTCTGCAGTCGTCGTCGTGGTCGTGGTCGTGGTCGTGGTTGTCGGGGCAGCGACGCGAACGGTCGACTTGCCGGTGACCTCCACGGTGCCCGTGAAGCCCGTGCTGGCGACAGCGGTGCTGATGGCTTCGGTCGTTTTCGCCAGAGACACCGTCTCAATTGCCACTTGCTTTTCGATGGCTGCTTCCAGGCTGGGCATAGTCACAGTGAAAATGGCCGTCAGCGTGACCTGAAGCTTCCTGGAGTGGGAGCTGAGGCGTCGATTCGTCTGGAACTCCAGCGTCACATCCTCTTCATCCACCTCCATAACCTCTGCGAACCCTGCAATCATGGCATTGGTCACGGTGGCGTTCTCGGTGATCGTGGTCGGATCCTCCACCGTCATGTCCATGGAAACTTCAATGCTGCTGTAAACACTTCCAGCCAGCGTCGTTGAGGTGGTAACACTCCTCGGGTCCTGAATACAAACGCCCGACTCGAACATGGGCTTCCACATGCACGAGGCGTCACCAGCACAGCCCGATTCATCTTCCACATAGGAAACTGCGCACTTGGAGATGTTGCCGAGGGTCTCCAAGTACTCCTTGGGGCCGTAGAGAGTTGTGCTACAATCGCGGGAGTCGACCGGGGCCGGGTTCCACAGGCTGGTCCACGCTCGCCAGCCGTAGCGCGTCTTGTCCTTCGGAGTGAACTCGTTGGTGATGTTGTAGTTTGGGTCGCTGATCTTCCAGGCGATGTAGTCGTCACCGGTAGGGCCAAAGGCCAGGCTGCAATCGCTCCACGATTGAGATGTTGTTGCGAGATCCCAGGCCTCGCAGAACTTCTTGGCATCCTCGGTCTTGTACAGCACCTCGTACTTGTCGTGGTGGTAGTTCAGCGTGATGCTGAACAGCGTCTCTGCCTGCTCCATGGAAGCCTCGCAGTTGGGACGCTCACCACAGTACTTGGAGTTCCTTAGGACGTAGGGCAGCACGGGCTTGTCCTCCGTTTCCATGAGAACACTCACAGGTGCCTTGATGATGTGGTAGTTGTCCGTGAGGGCGAACCACTTCGTTTTCACAAGAGAGGCAGTCTCGCACAGGTGGTAGTAGGCATCACGCGTGGCCGTCGCCGTCTCCATGGTCACGTTGCCGTTCGGGCCCTCGATCGTCTCGGTCATATCCGGCTGCGGGTAATAGGTCAGGGCCAGGATCTTCTTGAAGGGGTGGTGCGTGGGCACGGTCGCCTTCAAGTGTCCCTGGTAATCGAACATCGCCACTCCCAGGGTCACTTCGTCATCTTCAACAGTTTCGAAGAGGTTTTTGCTGGAACCGTGGCGGATGTAGGTTGGGAACTCGAAGCTGGTGTTCAGAAGTGTGTTGGCGTAGTTGCCCACCAGCATGGAATCCCAGTTGTAGGTCTGGCTGTCGCCATTCGCAGCCGTCCAGGCAGCCGCAAACTGGCTGCTGCTTCCGGACATGGCATCCATGGTGATCATGGCAAACGCCACATCGAAGGCCATCTCTTCCATCATGGTGCCACCGCCCATGCTGTGGAAAGCGTCGTACACAGCCTTGGTCCACGGGTGCTTCAGATTGTACATGGCATTGCCGTTGATGTGATCCACCAAGTAGGTCGGCATCATCGACTTGAACAGGTCCCATTTGTCGCCAAGGTACTGGCTCCCGCGGACGGCCATGTTCCCGCCCGGCATCTCGAGAGCCTCCGTCTCGAACTGGTCGAGCCAGCCGCTCTTGATGGGAACCGCGTCCATCTCCATGAGGAAGAAGGTGTCGTACATGTCCATGAACTCACCCTCAAGCATGGCCGTCATGATCTTCGAGAAGACCGCATTGGGACCAGAGACCCAGTGCTTGTTCGTGGTGTAGCCACGGTTGTCGTACACGTCTTGCTCTGGGTTCAGCATGGCCGACATGTTCTTGATGCCGGAGAAGCAATTTGTCCAGCCTTGTTTCGAGTCGAATGCCGCACCATAAGCATCCACCGCTTTCTTGGCTTCGGGGTCGGCCGCCAGATCCTTGCTGTAGACCAGGATGAGATCGATCGTGCTCGTGTTGGACTTGCTAGCGCAGGGCATCGTGGTGTCCCACATGCCACCACTGTCCATTAGCAGCTGCACCTCCTCCTCCGTCGAGAACACGCGGACCACTGCGAGGCTGGATCCTGCAAACAGTTTTAAGGTTTGTGCTCGAGTCGAGGCGGGAAGACGAACGCTTCCCTCTGTGTTTTTGATAAGTTGGGCTTGGGAATGCTCTCCTGCAGCCACGGCTGCTAATGCTGAGAGTGCCACGGTCAGCAGCTTCATGGCTAGATGACAGCAGAACCGGGCGCAAGCTGCTGCTGCGAATCACAAGAGCCGACACTGGAGAAGCATGCAGCCGGCTCCTTCTCAAAAAAGCATCCGGGCTGACATGGGCTGCTGGTCATCAGATCACAACTTTGGTGATAAGAATACACGCAAAAGCGGAACCATTTAACAGCAAAAGCTTGCCTCAGGGCGCGGCTCCGACGAGCCTGAGCATAAACTGAGCATAATCCACCGCGTCGTCGCCTGAAAGCCGAGAGGCCGACATAGCCCAACACTCTGCAGTGTGGCCGCCGCTGGCCACTGGCCTTTTGATGCTTAGGCTCGGCTTCCTGCCAAGAAGCGTTTGCAGCAAGCAAGCCCGCGAAAACCCCCCCCCCCCAACCCCCCCCCCCCCCCACCCCCTCCCCCAACCAACCAGCCCCCCCCCCCGCCCAACCCCCCCGCACCCCCGCAAACACCCTGGAACCCTTTACCTGTCCTGGGGCCGAGGCGGCGCGCACAAGCGTTTACAACTAAGAAGTACTGAGGATGCCACTTCAGCCGCCGCCTGAACCGTCAGCCCTGAGGATCGCATCACACATGGCTAGCCTACTAGTACACTTACTACACGCGCCGCGCTGGCAGGAAACCGATTTCGGGCCACGTCATCGGTCGCAAAGCAATTTCACGTGCACCTCGCTCTTAGTTCACCTGCAAGATGCTACACGCGACATGCTCCCCCCATCTTCCACACATAGCACGGCTTAGCATTTCATAAACAGTGCTACAGTTCTGGCGACATGCAGCACTTTGTCAGTTCTTGCATTGTAGGTTCTTGACCCGAAAAATCACAGCAACCAAGTCGCAGATCGGCTCCTGCCGTCGTTTTGACTACAGAACTGCAGGAGAGAGATGTTCTTTTGGAAAAAAGGTGTTTTCTGCACTTCGCACAGCGCAGCTGGGACTAGGGTTGAAGCAACGCCCCTCGCAATTTTCAAAGTTCGACACTTATCCTTGTGTCCTTGTGTGTAATTAACGCGAATGCGCCGACTAGATTTCTTGCCACCAGAAGAAGGACTAAGACTAAGACTAAGACGAAGACTAAAACTAAGACTAAGACTAAGACGAAGACGAAGACGAAGACGAAGACGACTACTACCACGACTACTACTACTACTACTACTACTACTACTACTACTACTACTACTACTACTACTACTACTACTACTACTACTACTACGACTACTACGACTACTACGACTACTACGACGACTACTACTACTACTACTACTACTACTACTACTACTACTACTACTACTACTACTACTACTACTACTACTACTACTACTACTTGTTTGGTTCAAAGCGGTTTTCAACAGCTGCTTTTTGGGGGCTTTGGCAAGTTAAAAAAATGCAAAACCCCAAGAATATGAATCTTGCAAGACTCTTGGGAGAATAGCGACACCGACAACCAAACAAATCAA